ATTAGGGCCAACAGAGGGAGTGTGATGTGGTTGCAGTAGGTTTATTGTGGCGGCTGCAGCAGGTCTCTAGTCATGGCTTCAGCAAAGGCAATGGCAGAAGTGATCTCGTCGCGGCAAAGCCGCAACAAAAAAGGAAAAAAAAACAAAGAAAAGTATAGCAGTTGTAGGTTCTTGACGAGCAGGAGCAGCCGTGGGTTTTAAGAAAAAAGAGAGATAGCTTCCGATTTTAAGAAAAAGAAGAGGAGCGCATGTAGTTTTTTGGAAAAGGAGCATGGCAGGTAATTGGCCCAGACAAGGAAAAAACAAAAAGAAAAGGGAGCAACAATATAGCCGTAAAAATAGTCGAGGTGCTGCTAGTTTTTAAAGGAAGAAAGAACAGTTGTAGTTTCCATAGAAGAGAAAAAATGAGCACGAATGTTGAAGATCTTCATCGTGTAAGAAATTTACGGGCATACTCATAACTATTAGGTGGAATTGAATAAACCCTAAGCATGTAATTCTATCAGTTCATAGAATATGGATCTTTTCATTAATTAAATTGCACATAGAACTTACAAGAATTCAACTTATAGTCCTTCTCTGTTTTCTTGAGCTATGATTTTATGGGCGATCCTCTTTCTCGTAATCTCCAATGATAGGTTTGTCTTTGCCTATGATTTGTTTCTCTCTCCCGCGTCTCTCGTCTTTCCATAAAGCACTTGATGTTGAGAACTTTATTTTCGTATGAGCCGAGAGATAGGGGCATGTAGTAGTATATATAAGAGGAGACTTAGAACCCTAATCCTACTAACATTTCCCATTTTCTAACCTAATTTATTGTCCAAGTCAAACATATCAAATTGGACTCTTTAATATTAGAACATTAAAAATTCATTAATACACTTCTCCTTAATTAAGTTTGACTATTAATTCAATTAAGTTCAACTAATTATATGGTCCACAATAATAGAATAATATAAAATATTATTACATTCTCCCACTTGGACCATAAAAGTGTTGAAACCCAAAGAACTACTTTAAGTTAAAAACAAACTAGAAATTAACCGAGTCATGGCGGTCACAAATCTTTGAGAAATATGATCCCTTCCATGTACCACAAATCATTTCTAATTCAACTTTAATTTAATATGGAACAAACTGTTCGTACCATAACCATAAGCCGTCCAACTTTTACGTATATACTATAAGATAAATATCCATAATGATGATATTATATGTGAAGAACCAAATATCTTTAATCGAATTCAATAAGTGTCAAAACCATTAATTGAGCAATTTCATTCAGTACCAGTCAGTACAAGGCCTCATTTGTTATTCCCAAATTTTGTTATATGCCTTGCAAAGGCTATAGGGAATAACCCTTTAATGGAACCACTTTCATGCAATTAGTACTAAAATGCTAAATGACACTTTATTTCTTCACTTCTACTTTTACGACCAAGTATTTCAATTTTATATGATTCCTACCCTTTAAACACTAGTCATTCTTTGGAACATTATTGCTACAAGACTACAATAATTTCTTAGCGGCTTGGACAAGATGTCAACATTTCCAAGTCATAAGATAAAGCATCGTAGCCCCTAATTTTCGACTTGTGGCCTCAAAGCATACTACAAACTCAAATTTAATCGTGGAAATCGTGATGATGGACTTTGTTCCACTTTTCCATAATTTTGCTCCTTTAGACATTATGAGCAAAAGTCTGAATCCGA